CCCACCATATGTGTTTAAAGGCTCCAAAAAGGAAACAGCTTAATCCAGAATGTGAAAAAGAATGGTGACATTCTGTGGTGTGTCACTGAAATGAGAAACTTATCAGGCACCATCTATTTTGGGGGTTTTGTGGTATTCTATGGTTCCAGGCTTCGAGTTAGTGACAAAATGGCACTGCCAAGATGACTTACCACATACGTGGGGTAGGAGAAGAGCACTGTGGTAGGCACTGCTTCTAAAATTTACTTTTGGCTTTGCCCTGGACTGAGTTGACACACATATAGAAAATATCCCTTCTCCTCCAAGGCCTAACTGAGAAAGCATCTATTCTACTTGGCTTACCTATGTTCTTCCCAATGGAAATGAATCCCTCTGTACTAGATTTTCCTGTGTGAACCTCTGTGATGGCACTCATCCAGGCAATCCTTCCTTGCAGCCTCTTGCATCTCTTTCTTCTCCACTGACCTGTAACTTTCCCGGAGGGTACAGGCTGTGGTGTTTTTCATCTCTGCATAATCCAGTGGGACCTAGCACAATAACTCACTTTGGAGGTACTCAATATATGTCGTTGAATGAAAATCAAATTGTTTCAGGGAAACAATGTAGGATGGTGACTTTAACCCAAAATACCTCAGTTATTTGTAGAAATGACATATTGTAGATTAACAACATAATTGACTCTGTCCTTATGTTAAAGGCTAAAAAAAGTGTGATTTTATAAAAAAAATCCTCATTCAATACAAAAGCCAGGGCGTGGTTTTGGTTAAACTGCATGGTCTAAATCCTGTGGAATCTCAATGTTTGAAATGAGGAAGGATATGGCTTTTGGTCTCAGCATTGGGGCAAAAAAGAATATTCATGGTTGGCATGGGTAGCTGAGTATAGGTATGTCAATAAATCATTGCCATAGCTCTTTGATTGTTGGAGATGTGTGTGTGTGTGCGTGTGTGCGTGTGTGTGCGCGTGCGCACGCATGCGCACGGACATTTTATAAGGAAATATTTAAGAACTTCTTGACTGTCAAGAGAAATACAATGAATGTCACAAAGCCCCTAGATATTATGATAAGTGTGTTTGCAGAAGACAAAAGTATCTTATTTTCTAAATATTTAAAGATGGCCAACACGTCAGTTGGGATGTTTAAATGTTATGGGAATAGAGAAGGACTCCAGAGTTGTATCGCGAATAATTTTCTCCAGCCTAGAAAGGAGAGTTGGAAGCTGAAGGATGACATAATCAAAGTAACATTTAAGAAAGAGGCATTTGGCAACAGTATCCAGGATAACTGCAGGCAGGGCTGCTCCTGGAATCATGGGGGCCAAGGCGGAAGCTGTAATAATAATCCCCTGTAAGGTGATGGAGGCATAGTCATGGCAAGTGATAGAAATGTAGTGGAAGGACTGGCTATGAAAGACATTTCAAAGGAAAAATCCCTATGATTTTTGTGAAGGTGATAGACAGTTCTAAAATACCGAGTTGGAGTGACTTGAATGACTTGTCAACACCAAGGAAGGAGAAGTGGGGAGGGGCAGCTGGACACAGGGAAATAGGAGAGTTTGCCTTTGGACACGTGGGATTCAGGAATGCGGTGAGACACCCCGATGGCAAGTCCCTGGCTCTATCCCTGTCATTTTCGGACATTGTGGTTCTCTGAGGGACGCGCTGGGGATATCAGATCTGGAGATGGCAAAGAGGAAATTTAAGACAGGCGAAGAACCAGCTAAGTTGGAAAACATCGAGGTCGCAGCATAGCCACTGCTGAGACACGCCACACCGCTCTGGTGGGATATCTGATCTCCTATCGTCCTGACTCTCTGCCGGGCTAAATGCCCTCATACGCTGACTGTATTGTGGCTTCCACCTCTTCTTCTTGTCATCTGCAAGCATTTAGCTTGTCGTCAGGCATTAGAACACGTCAGCTTTATGATTTAAAAATGTAGAAAAAAGTTCTTACTTTACGGTGGCCCCCAATATTAAAGCCTCCGAGCTTGTGAAGTAGATATGTAAATCAAAGAAGTATATTCTGACTGTAATGCCAATATCTCTGATCTAATCCTCTTGGTAAAGTTTAACTCATCCTTTGGAACTAACCTGGAAGTCTCTAAATAGGCTGCCTGCCTCCCCGGGGCAGTTAGTTTTTTCATTGTCCATGTTCCCACAACACTTTGTTCTCATTTCTGCTAGAGCCCATGGAGCAGTTGATGTGACCGTCTTTGGCCACTAGACCCGGAGCATCTTGAAGATGGGAACTATCCATTCATCTTCGCATCCCCACTCCCCTAACAGAGTGGGGGGGGGTTAGTGGGTGACACCTCGTTGTTGAAACTATCCAAAAGAGAAATTTTAAGAACATGGATGGTGCAACGTGTGGTTGTCGTAGCAAAGCCTGTGTACACATCGTATGTCATATCCCTGCTGATGCTGTTAATGCTGCACCAGCAGAGGCAGCACTCTCATTACATGCTGCTGGCCCATCTTTGTAATGTGTGACATTTTTTATGAAATACTATCAAGGGTAATCCATCATACAGTAACCTTTGGATTATATGCTGAGACTGGTCTTAAACATAGACATAAATGAACTTCAAAAATAACGCTCTTTTCTAAGAAGGGTATGATCAAAGGGTTGTGGCTAGGAAAATAAAGCAGAACATTATGCTCTTGAAAGTTAAACAAAAAGTGCCTGAAATAGAGGTTTTCTTCCATCTACTTCAGTTGGGGACAGGGTTATTGTGTGAAGATAATCAGGTGGCTCTGAAATGTGGCAGGCTGTTTATGTCTGGTAGGGCATCAGTGTATGAAAATGGGGTGAGGCCTCGCCAAAGGTTTGATCACCCTTGGGGATTGCAAGGTTTGTAATCACCTTCTCTTAAGAGGCGGCTTTGTTTGTTTTTTTAAATGAAAGGACACATGACAACTTGAGTGAATTTCAGATATCAACTGTAGGCTTACAGTTAAAGGTATTTCTCTCTGCATATCCATAAAGATCTAGGATTTTAAACACATTATAGAGAATAAATAAAAGAAGGCTTCTAAGTCTCATCATTTTTGTGTAAATCCAGATAAGACTCTTTTGATGAGCTTAGCGTTTCCTGTTAAGGAAAAGCTTATAGGTGAGAGAAACACTAAAATTATAATTCTTTGTCTTCCTTAATTAGACTAGAGCTCCCCATAGATCTTGCTGAAGCTGTGAGAAAATCCAAGCAATAATTCACATTGTCAGGTCAGCAGATATGGGCACAGGGGTCCAATATGACGGTAGGATTTGCTTAGGTGACCTGTGAACTAAACAGCTCAGAAGTATACAGCCTTGGTTGGAAATATACGCTCTGAAGATGCTGAGCACAAACAGCAATGAAAATAAATCCCAGCAAGATTCTCATTCCACCTTTACAGATGTCATTCCAGGGGAAGTATATAAATCCCATTAATACCAATTGATGTGGGGCACTAATTAATAAGTCCCATTAAATCATGGAGTAATGACATTTAGCATCTAATGAATGCCTCATAATCTCTTGATCATTAATATTTTATAGCATAAGAACACAGAACTGGCATCCCTGGGCTCGTGCAGCATGGTTTTCTGTCTCTGACTTGGCCCCAAGGGCATTAAGTGGCACAAGGGTATTGCACCTCTGTTGTAAGACTACACAAAGCAGTGGAATCTTTCAGTAACCCTGGGTTCTAACATTTCCTCATTTTAGTGAATGTGAATCTGTCATCCTCCTAATTAACAGCTATGGACTGCGCAGCGCCCTGGAAGAATAGAAGGGAGCTGAGATGTGGACTTTGTTGTGTAGCTTTACTGTCTTGTTGACCCTCCCATTCCATCCAAGAACTTGCATGGGAGAAAATCATTACTTTGATTTATAACCAGGGGCTTTCTTTATTCAAATGCAATAATCACCTCACAGAGCAGGTGCCATTTCAAGGGTTTATTGATCCTATGCTCTTCTAGAAATTCCAGGAGGCCGTCACTCTGCCCTGAGATAGACATGGTCAAGAAAAAAAACCTCAGTCTCTGAGCAGGCTGAAGGGAAGTGGGAGAAAATCCCCTGCCACCGTTCTAACGCTCCAGTGACACTCGGTGCCTTTCCGCTCCCCCGCCCCCCAAGAAGAGGGGCTGGAGGAGAGAGAACGCTTAGAGGTTGCAGTGGGCAAGGGAGAGGGAGAGAGCACCGACAGAGGGCTGCCAAGGGGTCTAAGAGGCTGCATCCTTCAGGCGTGGAGAGAAAGGGTCTTCAGCTCCAGATCACGATTCCAAAGAGTTAAATTTTACCACGCAGCCCGATCTGGATGGGAGTTGCTTCTGGGTACAAAACGGGACACTGATCAAAATCAACTTGGACAAGTGACAAGCCTGAGTCTGATGTCGGTGGATGTCTTTTAAGGTCGTTGGAGGGGAGAGGACGGGAGGCAGTGTGCTCAGGGGTAGGTGGAGAGAAGCTTCGAGTCCAGGGCAGGGCTATAAAGGGATACGGAGTTGGCAAACAGGGAGACAAAACGAGTGGGGAAGAGAGAGAGGAAGAGTTGAAGAAAAGTAGGGGGAAGTGGGGACAGGGTTAGGGGAGAGAGGAGGATAGGAGAGAAAAGTGAGGGCGGCTGGGAGGGATTAAAAGGGAAGGGGGATCGCTGGAGAGAAGGGCGGACGGCAGGCTCGGGAGGTGGAGAGGAGGCGAGGGGACCCAGCGGGTGGGGGGTGCCGAGAGGCAGGCGAGGGGCTGGGGAGGAGGAGGAGGGCTAGAAAGTGCGAGCCGCGCGGGGTGGGGGTGGGGGGCGGCGGGGAGCCGGGGGGCCGGGAGGGCGGTGGGAACCGAGCCGGGAAGGGGGCACCGGGAGCTAGCCGGGCCGGGAGCCGAGGGCGGGGAGGCCGCGGGAGGGAGGTGGGGGGCAGGTGGGGGAACGAGGGAGGGAGCGCGGAAGAGAGCCGAGGCCAAGTGCATTGTGTCTGGCGGCGGCGCGCGAGCCCACCGGCTGCTGCGGCGGGGCGGGAAGCCATGGAGCCGCGGGCGCTCGTCACGGCGCTCAGCCTCGGCCTCAGCCTCTGCTCCCTGGGGCTGCTCGTCACGGCCATCTTCACCGACCACTGGTACGAGACCGACCCCCGGCGCCACAAGGAGAGCTGCGAGCGCAGCCGCGCGGGCGCGGACCCCCCGGACCAGAAGAACCGCCTGATGCCGCTGTCGCACCTGCCGCTGCGGGACTCGCCCCCGCTGGGGCGCCGGCTGCTCCCGGGGGGCCCGGGGCGCGCCGACCCCGAGTCCTGGCGCTCGCTGCTGGGGCTCGGCGGGCTGGACGCCGAGTGCGGCCGGCCGCTCTTCGCCACCTACTCGGGCCTCTGGAGGAAGTGCTACTTCCTGGGCATCGACCGGGACATCGACACCCTCATCCTGAAAGGTGAGCGGCGGGTGCGCCCTGCGCCCTGGGCGCCCGCGCGGGGAGCGCAGCCCGCGGATCCCCAGGGGCGCGCCGGTCCCCGCGGCCACCTCCCCGCCGCGTCCCCGCGCTCCGCTCCCCGGCTGTCTTTCGTCCTTCCCGGCCGCCTCCTTTCTTCATTTCTCTCCCTTTCTTGACCACCCCCTTCCTCCCTTCTCTCTCTTGCTCTTCTTTCTTTCCATGACTCTCTTCTTTCTTTCTCATCCTGCTCTCCCTCTCCTCCTTTCTTCACGTCTGTGGTTTAGCCGCCCCCCCCATCTGCTTCTTTCCTTCCTTTGCCTCCTTTTCCCTTCTTCCTTTCCTTCCTTCGCTGTCTTTGTACACCTGCCTGACTTGGAATGCAGGTGTAGATTTTTCTCGACGCTGCTCCCCTACGGAGGGTTAACATTAAAAAAGACCCGACCTTTCCCAACCGGGCACCTCTCAAGTTGTGCTTTCCTTTTAGAAATACCTTTGGAAGAAAAGTGGTGCAAGCCTCAGAAGAGGCGGAAAGGGGCTTTTTCATGTATTGTGCTGATGTTGGCATTAGACAGAACTGGTGTGGCCATCCCAGCCTGGCAGGCTAATGGGAAGCTAAGGAGGCCCGAGACCTTCTTCCCAACACCAAAGTGCAGGGTTTCCTGTTGATTAGACCTCAGACTTCAGATAGACCTCAATTCATTGGTGAGGCAGTTGAACACAGACAGGACGTCTACTTTTTCCCAACCTTCCTGGTCACTCCACACACCACCCTCAGCGTCTAGGCACACCAGGGTGAGTGAGGGGAGGAGAGAACCTGCCCAAGCCCTTTAAAGTGCTTCTCTCTGGATTTGGCGAAGACTCTCATGTGTGTGATACCTTGTAAGGTTGCTTTTGTTGTAGTTGTGGTTTTAGTCCTGAGTTGTGGAACACCAGTTTGCTCTTCTGAAATCTATGCAATACCTGGCTCCCATGCACGGTTAATCAGAAGTTTGATTTTTTTTTTTTGTAATCTCATTCATGTAAAAATATTCAAGTGACAATCCCATTGGTGAAGTTTCCTTCTAAGTTTCAGAGCTCCACTCTTAATATAAATTATTTTTCTCTGAAATGAAAAAAAGCCCCTTTCCCTTAGACTCATTATTGCAAAAAAAAAAAAAAAGGAAAAAAAAAGAAAAAGTCTAAAATCACTGCATTTTAGTATTTAGTAGCCATTTAGGAAAGTTAACGAACAGACTTGTGTGGAATTACAGTGTGGAATGGGATTACATAGAAAGGAGGGGGTTAATAACGTTTTGGCCTTCAGAGTCTTGTTAGTTGGCATATTCTTCATTTCTCATACATGTCAACTTCCTCCTTCCCATGGCTAGCTCAGCTGGGGACTGCCATCTGAAATCTGTCTGTGTGTGGAAGGACTCCAGCGCTTTGGGGGAGGAATAAGACAGAGTAACCTTCCTTTGGGAGGTGTACCTTTTTCTTTCTTCTCCTAACTCACATCCAAATCTGATTTTACCTCATGAAGATGCTGCATAATTAATTCTGATAGTAGCATAGTACATGAACAAACTGTAAAAGCTGGATTTGGAGGCTCAGTTATGGAATGCTCATTTAGGCAAGGCAATTTTGAAAGCTAAGCAGTGTAGTCTGTCTTTGGAAACGACAGAGCTGCATTGCCTTACACTTTCTATGCCTAGGGTAGTTGATTGCATGCAAATTGCTTATAGAGGAATGCCTGAAACAGCAGGGCAGAGTCTAACCCACCAATGGGAGTGGGACCCCCACAGGATACTGCACATTCCCCACCGCTGGAAGTGCCCTGGCTAGCTGAGGTGCCCAGCTCTGGGGTAGTCCAGGATCAAATAATCCTAAAGGTAAAGGGACTTTAGAGGTCACTGAATCCAGTCTCCCACCTATTGTTCAAAATCCCTTCTTCTACAGTCTTTCTGGCCGATGTTTGTCCAGCCTAGCACTTCCATAAGATTCCTATACTAGTTAAAATCATTATATTTTTCTCATCATGAATGCAGTGTTTTAGATTAAAACAATATCAGCTCTGTGATATTGATGGTGTTTAGCTAGTCCTTTGTGCAGAACAGTGAAGGGTTCTAGGCTGTAACCAGAAGACATGGGCTCTGTATCCTCCAAGAAGTGTCCAGACCTCATTGGCCTTCAGTTTTCTTGTCAATGGTACCAGGAAAGCTGACTCTTCTTTAGGGAATTTTCTAGTTCTAAAATTTAACATTGTTGTAATAACAACAGTGTAAATTTAGCTTTCTGGGAAGTTAATGAGCTGACATTATTACGACATGAGGGGTTTGGAGAAAATGACAGGTATCAGTACATGATAGAATCATAATTTGTTGTTTGGGAGATGGCCAAAAAATGCTTCAAGTACTTTTAACATTGTAATTAACCTACCTTGGACTAGTTACATAACTCTTCTGGATCTCCATTTCATTACCTATGAAATGAATAGGCAAAATGAACAGCTTTAAAATTCTATATTTCTACAAATAATTTGATTTTGGCATCTGTATTAGGTAAACAGTATTACCTTTGTTTCGGCATCTGACATTAGTGGCTGTGGTATGACTTTCTTAAATGAGTCATAAGTATCTAGCGGTTGACATCACATCTAATTTAAAAATTTAGATAACTAGGGTCTTATGGTCTATTTTTACTTTCTTCTCCAAATTACATTGTTTATGAGTTTTAACATTTATAAATTCTAATCATCAGAAATGAAGAAAAATAACCTCAGAGGGGAGAGTGGGGTGAGGTGGGCAAGGGCCCCAAACCATCTGGGGTATTTAGTGAGCTTTTGAGAAAAAAAGAGATGAGCTGTTCTTCATAGGACTCAGAAGGCAAAGCCTGGAGGTGAGTAAAAGTTGCAGAGAAGAAAGTATGAGTTGATAATATGGAAAACATTCTCACAGTTGGAATTATTTGCATCTCCTGTTACTAGAGGCCAGGCAACTATTTCTGAGAGATGTAGTTGAGACAGAAGCAGTCCATATAAACAATGAGAGATTAGTTTAGAAATGAAATGAATAAACTATCTCTTCTTAATCTACTTAAGAGAAATCACATGAGCCAGAAAAGCATCCATCTCGATGGGACAAGTATTTGGGAAAAATCACCAAATTCTAATTGTCACCTTTCATTATGATTCTAGTTCACTTCTAGCCCAGAGTGACCCTAGAAGGTCTAGACTGGACCTCCAAGCAGGACCTTCAGTAAGAATGGTGGTAAAGTTATTGATAAATGCATTCAGAACCAAGACTAGAACCCTGTGCTACTCTACCAGGCTGACAAAGGACCATTTACCAGCACGGTTTGAATACATTGTTTTTCCAGCTGCGAGTTCTCTTCCTAGCACTGCATTGACCAGTCCACATTTCACTCTCTTGCCCTTTGGGATAACCTGCAAAGTCTTTAGACAGATTAGGTTCACACGATATTCCATAGTTTACTATCCAGTGCAGTAAATGCCCATTGAAAGCCTATTATGTGCCAGGTCATGAGGAAGATGTGACACGTGGGGTTCTTTTGTGTTTGAGTTGGTCAGTTGATTCTAAATTATTCTTCCATATAGTTCCTTCTTGCAGCTAACTTTTGATGCTAAGGAAACTGTGCTGGTCACAGTGAGTACTGTATGCAAGTGAAGGCATCCTCTGCTTAGCCGTCAGAAGGACATAAAAATTGAGAGAGCCTAGTTGCAGGAACTTGAGAGAATGGACCTAAAACGTAGAGCTTCAGGCCCCTCCGTGCCACTGGGACTCTTAGAGGTTTGAAAGAAACCTGTCTATGTAAAAGTTACAGAAAGCCAGTAGAGCAGATGGACATGGCATGGATTTTGTAAGAAGCCCCAGAAACGAGAAGAGGTGACCTAAAGATAGGTTCTTCATTCATTCATTCATCTGATCCATTCACTCGACAAATACATATTGGGTGTTAGTATTGCTCTAGGTGTAGAGGATACAGGAGTGCATAAATGGATACAAATGTCTGTCCTCAAAGAGTTCATATCAAGTGGTGGAGTTATTTTCTAGTGGGTAATATAGGAACCACCCTTAGTAGGTTATGGGAAGAGCACGTGGGGAGGGCTGCTAGCACTGGTAGGCAAATGATGCAGGAGACAGTGCAGAGTGATGGAGTACTCTGCCCTCTGGGGGATGCCGGCCCTTCTGTTCCAAGTACAGCTCTTATGTTTAAACTACTGGATGAACATTCAAGTAAGAGGACAGGTGGAAGGAGACTCAGTTGGAAACATCATATAATGCTTCTTTCGGTTACTGAAAACACTGATTTTATTATTTATTTATTTATTTTTTAAAAAGATTTTATTTATTTATTTGACAGAGAGAAACACAGCGAGAGAGGGAACACAAGCAGGGGGAGTGGGAGAGGGAGAAGCAGGCTTCCCGCAGAGCAGGGAGCCCGACGCGGGGCTCGATCCCAGGACCCTGGGATCATGACCTGAGCCGAAGGCAGACGCCTACCGACTGAGCCACCTGGGCGCCCCAACACTGATTTTAATAAATAAACGTTGATGAGACTTGTGAATCCATTGTATAGAACTTTGGAGAAATTAATTTTGAATGGGAATTAGTCATTGAAATTCTATCAAAAGTTCCAACTGTTCTTACTGGCCTTCACTTTAATTTTCTAAAATTTTTTAATTAAAATTTTTCATTAAAAACAATTAACATTACATTTCAAATATATGTACCTTGTTGATATAAATCAGATTCTAATATTACATATTGCCTGCAATAAACAAAAGGAAAATTAATGTGGCAGTATTTTGTTTTTATGAAATTTAAAGGGGTAGAATTTCAGAAATATGAAGATGGTAATTCTGTATGCATAATGTTAACTTGCATAAATCATTTGGGATTGAATTCTTGAAACTTGAAATAAAACATGTCCTTGTGGTTTCAGAAGCATTTTTCATCTAATGAGATAAACAGAGATATCAAAGACAGTGGGACACATATACT